GTAAGCGGGCTTCCTTCACCACGCGTGGGTGAATGAAGTCGCCCTGAGAACCGGAATCCCACAGCGCTGAGTACACCCTCGTGGAGGTCCCGAGTCGTACGGGGATGATCGGGAGGGTGCGATCAGGGTCAGAGAGGATGGCGAGAAGGCGACGCAGTGCAGCGACATGGAGGGTGAGTCGCTCCTGATGAGCCTGGAGCATGCTCAAGTCCAGAAGAGAGGACACAACGTCCTCGCGAGTAGCAAGCTGCTCGCTGCAACGAGCTGAGCGAATGGCTCGACACGTCGGTAGTCAAGGCGGGGGAGGAGGGGAGACGGTGGTCTGCGGAGGCGCAGACGGTACTGCGACAGAGGGCTGAGTACACTCTGTCGAGTCCTGCGATAGCTCAACTTTAGTAGCGAGAGGGGCGAACCGCGACGGAGATGTCGGGAAGCCCACTACTGAGGAGGGCGCAGGTGTACACTGCACCGTGGCTAGGAGGCGCCGYGGGGACGTGAGGCGCCGGGGGGGGACTGGGCACGACGCTGACGAGAAAGGTCAGCGTAGTGGCGGTCGAGGGCGGTAGTGTAAGGGCACCGCGAGGAGGTATGACCGTCCAAGCGGCAGCGCAAACACCCACGCCGGCCCAGAATAGTCGCGCTCCTCAGGGGAAAGGACACCACGAGGAGGGACGAAGCCTTAAGGGAGGTCCTCCTGAGGGACCTCGGGGGGCGATGCGCCAGCGTGACCGGGGCGGCTGCGTGCCCGAGAGAGGGCAGAGAGAGCGAGCTGAAGGCGATCAGCTGCAGGGAGGGTAGACTCCTCCAAGTGATAGTGGACGGCCTCGCAGAGATCGAGGTCGTCGCTGTGGTTGCCCTCAGATGACAGTGGGGCAACAGCGTCCTGCTCATCATACTCCAGCGCGCTGAAGCGGTGCGAGAAGTGGCGGCCCTGCTGTGTGGAACGGCGGGGGCGACCGCGGAAAGGGGAACGGCGCTGGGAAGTGCCGTGAGAGGAGGAGGAGGCGTAGCCCGTGCGCTGGGGCTGGGAGGAGGAGGCGGGGTAAAGACGGGCTCGCATCCGCTGCTGGTCCCTGGCGGCCTTGTAAGCCTGTGGGGCCGATGTGAACTCGTACCGCCATAGCTCGGAGCGGTACTCGAGCGGAAGGCTGGCCAAGAAACGATCGATAAGGGCAACCTCGGGGAGGAACGCCACGTCGCAAACGAGGCGGGCCTCCTGAAAGACCTGGATGTGGCGATCCAGGCCGACAGCGCCACCAGAGCGGGACTAGCGTGTAGTGATGACACGCTCAAAGGCGTCAGTCACATCGTATCGGGCTCCGAAGCGATCCTCGAGGAACGCCTGGAAATCCACGAAGGTCGGAGTCCGACCCTCACGAAGGGAGTAGGCATAGAAATCCTCCCAGGCCTTGAAAGGACCGCCACGCAGGCGCGTGGAGAGGTGACCCAACCACGTCTCGGGTGTGGCGCCCATGAGCTGGAGTGTGCGGGTGGCAGACTGCAGCCACCGAGACACGCGTATGCCTGTACCGTCATACAAGGCAATGTCCGACAAGCGGATGAGTGGTGCGCCACCGTTTTGGCGGCAAGGGGATCGAGGAGCGGAGGTCTGTGCTACGGTTGAGTAAGTCGGCGCAGGTCCTGGAGAAAGGGGCGCAGCTGACTGTGCGCCCGGGCCGCATGGGGGAGCGGCGGTGGCAAGAGACGCAGGCTGCGAGGGTGCTGCGGTAGAAGAGGTCGCAGCAACCGCGGGAGTAGGAAGAAGGTAGGAAGGAGTTGTATAGGGTGCAGGGCGCGGAAAGCGAGCCTGCATGGGAGGAAGGGTAGAGGAGGTAGGGGGTGCGCCCGAAGGCGCGGCCACCTGTGAGGGTGGGGGTGGCTGAAGGCGTAAGAGGGCGAGGTTGGCCCGGAGCTGGGCAATCTCGTCCTCGAGACCTCGAACGTAGGTCGTGCAAGGGGTAGCAGGGGGAAGRGTGGAGGAAGTGGATGCACAAGCGGCGCGGGGCATCCCAGAGGGGGGAGAGCCAGGTGGCGCTGCGGTCGTGCGAAGGGGGGGGAGGAGCGGGGCACCCGGAAATGCTGAGACCATGGTAACGGGTTGTGGTCCCGTGGCCGTCGTAACCGGAATCTGGGCCGGTGCGCCCGTAGACTGAGGAAGGGCCTGACTCGTGGCGGCCGTCGAGCTAGGGGCGTGGACGGTCACCAAAATGGCCGGGTCGGGGGCGGCAGAGAAGGAAACTCCGCCGTGGCCACCCTGTCGGAGAACTGGGGACCCGGACTGAGAGCCAGGAGAAGAGAGAGGATGAGGAGAGGAAGAATGACCACCGTTCTGGAGTTGCTGCACGCCGGCGGCAAGGGTCGCCACCTGCGCCTGTAAGGGCCTGAGGGTCGCGAGTTGCGCCTGGATGGGCGCGAGGGTCGCGAGTTGCGCCTGGATGGGCGCAAGGAGGGAGGTGAGGAGGGTGTGTAGATCCCCCTGGGGCTGATGGCCCTGGTCCGCCGGCACGGGTGTGGAGCCCGATGCCGTGGTCCTCGTCGTGTCGACGGCGTGTGACACACCGTCGGCCATGGGGAGATGACGGACCGGACTGGAGGGGGCCAGAAGAGGTCCGCGTGAGCAGAGGGCGTAGG